TTAGTCAAAACTTGTGGGGGTTGATCGTAGCAATTGCAGGGCTGTTGTACGTATCCGCTAAGAACTATTTAACCACCAAATCATGAGTAAACCAACCGCGACTCCACCCACTACAAGCGCTGTTTTTTCATCGATATGTTGTTGATTTTTAGCCTCAATATGCGGTGACACTTGTGCGTTAGTAGATGTGTTAGCGATAGTTGGTGTCTGTGGCTTGACTATTCCCTTTTCACCCGTGATTGTTTGCGTTATTAATTCGACGTGATTATCTGAATTTATACCTGGTTTTTGTTGATCGGTAGCGATAACAATTTTATTATTATAGCCTATCACTTGACCGATCTTAAGTTCCATATTACTCGGAGACATGTATAGTCCCGGCGCATAAACGTAGTCCACTTTGGATTGAGCGTTCTGTAATGCATCTTGAAAACGCTTTATAGACGATGGTATGTCAACTGGTGAATTAATGGCGTCCTCCACGTTTGCGACAAACTGTTTTTGCGCATCGAACGCCATCCCAGTACCGATTATGGACGTTCGTGTTTGCGATTGTGCTCCGAGAATTGCCCACACATAAGTTCTTATCGATTCATTAACTCTTTCAAATCCTGGGTTAGTAAAATTATTTTTTCCGTTTTATCATTAAGAAATTCATTCCAAGCGTCTGTTGTATCGTTTGGATACACAAACTTTGTTATAATATAAGGAATGCCACTCTCAAAGTTCATACGATCTGCTCTAAACTGTTTACTCGAGAGAGCAAAGCCTGAAGGGATCACACCCTCTTTAATTAAATAATCGCTTTTATCTTTAATAGTTCTTTGTCCATTGTACGGAATACCTAGACCATGGCTAGGTCCTTTAATGCGCCAATCTTTACTCGTAGAAACATTAAATTCATTACAAATACGTTCGAAGGCCCTCTTATTATAATGATTATTTGCGTGATTCCATGCTGGATCCAGCGGTAAAGGAGCACTAATTTCTTTAAGTATACGTCTTATCTGATAGTACACGTGAAATAATATAACAGACTTATATAGTTTAAATCCTGGGGCATTAACAGATACGCCACATCCCGTTGTGGCACACCATACGGCAAAGTTAAAATGATTCTGCCAAAAATGCATCGAACGGTTAAACCAATCGTCCACCATTGTAGTGTTAGTTGCCGTGAAACTGTATTTTTCAAAGATATCGTGGAATTTAACGGTAAACTCAGCACCGGAGGCAGTTACTATAATTGATTGATTAGTAATGTAAGTTGATTTCATATTTAAGTTATGATATAGTATCATTGTATATTTAATATGTATGTTACACACCTGGGAATAACAAATGGTCAGTCTATTGAACTGCTTCATACTATCGATAACTCGTATGGACAACTCGAAGTAGCTCTATGCGATGTAACGTATTACCCACGGTGGACCAATATAAATGCTACAAAAAGAAATTATAAGATATTTACAACGATAAACGAATATACAATTGACAAATCCATTAATATACCTGATGGGTATTACAGCGTATGCTCACTCAATGATGAAATTTTTAAGCCTAATGGAATGAGTCTCACACAAAATGAGTCGAATGGGATGCTGAAATTAGCCACTGGAGAAAAAGGTGTAATTATTGCCGTCAACTTAGTAACTAAACTTGGATTTCCACTCGACTATGAATCTATGAAACCCAACATAACAATACATGGAAATACATTACCCGATTTAGTTCCCTATAAAGAGTTGTGTATCCATCTTGATCAAATAAGCACGACGGATAATATTCAACTAGAAAGTCCTTCAACTCTGCTCAGATCTATTCCAGTGAAAAATGAAAAATATAATAGCGGTAGAACGGAATCTTTCTCGTTATTACAATATAAAAAATTAAAGCGGGGTATTATTTCAGACCTCAAAATTTCTGTATTAGATGTAAAACATCAACCTGTACATATAGGATACTTAAGTGTAACACTCCATATTAAAAATAATGGTTGATTCCATATTTAAGTTATGATATAGTATCATTGTATATTTGATATGTATGTTACACTCCCTGGAATAACAAATGGTCAGTCTATTGAACTGCTTCATACTATCGATAACTCTGATGGACAACTCGAAGTCGCCCTATGCGATGTAACGTATTACCCACTGTGGACCAATATAAGTGCTGCAAAAGATAATAATAGTATGTATTTATCAATTAAACAAAATATTATTGAAAAATTCATTATTATACCTGATGGGTATTACAGCGTATGCTCACTCAATGATGAAATTTTTAAGCCTAATGGAATGAGTCTCACACAAAATGAGTCGAATGGGATGCTGAAATTAGTCGCTGGAGAAAAAAGTGTAATTATTCCCGACAACTTAGCACCTAAATTTGGATTTACACTCGACTATGAATCTTTAAACATTATAAAACCCAATGGAACAAAACATGGAGATACATTACCCGATTTAGTTCCTAGAGTTGTTCATCCATCTTGATCAAATAAGCACGATGGATAATATTCAACTAGAAAGTCCTTCATCTCTGCTCAGAAGTGTTCCAGTGAAAAATGAAAAATATAATAGCGGTAGAACGGAATCTTTCTCGTTATTACAATACAAAAAATTAAAGCGGGGTATTATTTCAGACCTCAAAATTTCTGTATTAGATGTAAAACACCAACCTGTACATATAGGATACTTAAGTGTAACACTCCATATTATAAATAATGGTTGATGCATCAGGCCCTGGAACACTCAGACAATGTAATACAATTGCGCTTTCCGATCTCGGAGACACGGAAGGATTTGATAAACCCGGTTACAATGGTAAGTTATACGCTTTACACTTACATGATAATGTATACAAGCGGAAAGAAATCACATTCACGGGTAATCTAGAAGATTTAAGCGATGTCGACGTTAGTAGGCTCATTAAAAACACTTCGTACAATATTATTCTCAACGGCGAGAATAAATGGACTATGGTCGAAGCAAACATCGAGTGGCTACTGAATATAGTCATTACCCCAACTTATGTGATGATGGGTAAGGGACATAATTTAACTAACATAATGAATAGTGGCATCGTACTCTCGGCTTATATCCCGTCAAAACGAAAAAGTGTGTTAGTCACTCCCCTGCCAGAAAACCCAGGTCATATGTTATATAGTCGTCCGGCAATCCAAAACGTTAGTTTAAATTTGGTTACTATTATTATTGAAGTCTTGTTCGGAGATGCACCGGAAAATGCCTTCGAAATATTACCAGGTCTATCGATTAAATGGCAAAAGAAACACCAACGTCAACGTTGCAGTATTATTCATATCTGAGCATCACCCGTTGCAACCCTCGAGGGGGTCCAAATTATTAAAAGTGACAGTATTTCTCTTACTAAGATATTCTTGCCGTATAATATATATTTGATAAGATTGATGTATAGTCTCAAAACATTTAAGCAAGACCAATTAAAGACTATTATATGATCGTAATATACACTATGAGTTTATATCCAGCGCTCGATGAAGCATTTGAAAAGATGGAAACTGTTGATGGATTTCGATTACATCAAATAAGCGATATAAAACATCGAATAGAGAAGGATAGGGCCAAATAATATTATTATCTTTGACTGAACTGGAAAGATCTAGTACATAACGATCGGGTAGATTTCCACAGCGACCGACGAGTGAATGAGACGGTTTATCACTTGACTAACACTGTCAGAATATTAGGCGCACTTTCAACTTTGGAATGTTGACATATGTATGTGCGTTTCATATCTGTTTGAAGACTTGCCATTCCAAGGAAATAATATGCATATAGAGAAATGGAATGTTTTACTGTGAGAAAGCTATCAAAATGGATCCAATAATAAACAACCTTTTTTATATTTTCAATATTTTAAGTATTACTTATTAGATCTACACACAATACATATAGATAATCGATTTCTGAATGACAAAATGTTCTAGATTTCATTATTGTTTTTTACTGTGCATTATCTAAATGATCAAATACCTCGAACAGTGACATATGTATTAGTAATACTTACTTTGTTTTGTATCCTTAGTAAGAAATAGAATTTGGGTTAGAATAGATCTTCAGCAACCCATACTTGTAGAGGCGACTATGCTTGTCGTAAGAGGCGACAAAGGGGATCGGGTGGTAAGGCTCGCTGACTTGGTTCGATACATGTCATCGTATCCCTAATGGCTTGTCTGATCCACACTCGAATATTTACAGACCGCCCTCATAATACCTGGAATATTGTGTTAGGCGAGTGAGGCGTTATACAACAAGCAAACAAAATATTCTGCCCACACAGAATGGGACTTCCCTCAGAAAGCGCTGCCCAGTCGAACCTAACAGAATGTTTCGGAGAATGTGAATACTTTGCTATATTGCAGTCGTCTGCATTACCTATAGTGTCAGAAGGGCTCTGTTCCTGGCAACAGACCCAGGTTCGCTCCCAATGACAGTCAACAGATTAGGAGGTACCAAACCTAAGGCACCGAGGGTGTCGGACAAGTTGGTGATTGGGATGCAAACGTGACATGTCGTAAGGGAAGCCCTTATGTTTGCCATTTTTTTCCTGAATCTTGTCAATCACATTCGTGTCAAAAGGGACAGAAATTCAATGATATAAATTATTTCATTGGATTTATCAAAAATCAGTGTCAGACTTGTTGGCCTGCAAACGTTTGAGGCTGTACAGGGGCCTATTCTGGACATTTGGTATTTATCGTTTTCCACCACGCCCTCTTCCTATTCTGTCATGCCATGACTCAAAACCACAAGCATGTCTATGACGGTAACAACGGTATGGAGCCATGTCATTATGTTGCTAAACATACAATGTGTTGGATCTTTTCTTTAAATTCATTGCATAATGTACATTGACATTACTATTATTATTGTTATTGTTATTGTTTGACCTGACATTATTGCATCTTCATCAAGTATCAATGTGATTGGTTGTTCCCTACTTTTTTTCAGCCCCTGTGACCAGCTCTTTAACGAATGTCTTGGGGGGCCGTATTGCGGCAGTTCTTGGAGGTCTTCTGACTCTGGTTGGCGTGTCGGCTGCTTTCTTTGCCACGTCGGTAGATGGGATGATTGTGTCCTATGGACTTGCTGCAGGTGCAGAAGAATATGCATAAAAACAAATGCTTTCTAACATGTATTTCACAAAACTTCCTCAAAGCATTCTTCATTGATTTAGAATAACTATCAATGTTAAATCCACTTAAGATTTGTAAACATTCAAAGTCAGCTGTCAATTATGTATTCTTCTTTTAGCATTGGTTCAGAAATATGTCGGAGACACACATCAATTAGGTTTTATGAAAGGGAAATAGAGGTTATCACGCGAGTGTGTTTGGGGATGGTAAATATCCTGCATTAGGAATAAACATTGTATTTAGCGAGCCTTGGCGAGCTAAATACATAGTGTTTATTCCTAATACAGGATATTTACCATCCCCAAACACACAAGCGTGATAACTTCTTTATCATATAATGTCATTCTTTTATTCTGTGCTTCAAAATCGCTTTCCCTCTCTCACAAACATTACCGAAACATTGCGAGTTTTCCTGGAATGCGTGCATTAATATTTATTACGTCACAGGGTAGGTGATGTGTCAGTCAGACAGTGACAGTAGCCAATATAGTTCCAACTGAAATCTGTTTCTTATACAGTGGCGAAGCAACATATACGCAAAACAACAATTGTTTTTAATTGCCTTTCGCTGCAATCCATCGGTCTGTCCGCCAGAGTAACTGCCCTTTGTCAAAGGGAAGCTACTCTAACCCTAGTCTATGAGACGTCACGGCCACGGTCAGACGTTGTTGACAGTCGGTCTGTCCTGTCATTACAATAAGAAGTGTAGTCAGATGTACACACAGCGACAAAACGAAACAAGGTAACAATTCAAACATATTTCCGCCAAATCCAACTATTTTAATTTGTGGAGGAGGTTTCAAGCCGCAGAGGTCTACAAGCACAGATATGGCTACTGATCCCGCTTGGCTAGGCCTCGTGCCCTCGCAAAATTGTTTCAAAATTTATATCTCCAAAGTTGACAAAACTTATAAAATGCCTTAGCTACGTCACAGTTAGACACAGATTTTCAGTATATTAGACTGTTCTTTTGATAATGATAGCAATTATCCCTGTAGTTTATCCAGATTCCCGATGGTTAATTCTGACTCGATCCCCGAATGACAAGGGCGACACCATGTTTGTTTATAAACAGTGAAACTAGTCCCTACTTGACCTTTGATATTTGCATCTCTATCCGCATATGACCCCAACGGATATCGTTTTTATCCGTAGGCTTTATCCTGCCGAGAAACCTACCCATTATATGATAAATCAAACTATGCCCTTCCACGCGACGGAGAGACCACTTTACTAATGTACACCACGAAAAATTATAAGCGCAGCTTAATATAAATTAGTGTCCAAAAGAAACGATACCACCTGTGTGCAACGACATAAAAGAAAATCTCAACAATGCAGAAGTTTAGGATTGGTGTTATGCTTTTGAGAAATCCTTTCACAACATCTGTACAAAAATTCATTTCAATAAAATCTGTACAACCAATATGACAAGCCTTTAAATATGGGTGGGGTCGAAAAATGAACATTTCGTTAGAGCACTGATCACAGAAACAACGGGAAATGTCACACCACACGTCTCAAGTCAAGTCAGTAGCGGGTATGTCCACCGTGAGCATCAATACATGCCAGAACACGCCTACGGACTGATGACGTCAAACGTCTGATGACGTTGGGAGTGATGCGTTGCCATTCCTCGAGGAGACATCGTTCCAAGTCCTGGACGTTGACTGGAGGCACACGGCGACGTCGGATTTGCCGATCGAGGTGGTCCCATAAGTGCTCGATGGGATTCATGTCCGGTGAACATGCGGGCCATGGCAAAACCTGTACGTTGGCGTTGGCAAGGACGTTCTGTGTCAATCTTGCTGTGTGTGGCCTTGCATTGTCATGTTGGAAAAGGAGTCCACGAGGCTGTTGCTGAATAAAGGGCAACACAACAGGCCGTAGGATGTCATCAAGATAAAACGCTGTGCATTCAGGTTTCCACGAATTACGACAAGCATCGTTTTGACATCACCACATATGCCACCCCAAACCATTAACCCTCGACCTCCAAACGGCCGGACCTGTTGGATACAGTTAGGCGCCAAACGTTCACCAAATCGTCGGTATACAAGCTGCCGTCCATCGTTTCTGAAGATGAGGAATCTGCTCTCATCAGAGAACATAACACGTGCCCAGTCCCGCCGTTGCCAATGTCGAACTCGCCTGGCCTAGATCAGTCTGTTGTTCCGGTGTCGAGGCGTCAGGAGCTGTCCGCGGTAGGGATGACGTGGCCGGATACCATACTGCCGTAGTCTCCTGTAGACGGTCTGTCGACTGATCCTGTGTCTCAGTGCTGTAGCCGCCGTGGACGTCGCTGTTACGGTGCGGTTCCTCAGGTGTAATACCCGGATGTAACGATCTTCACGGGGCGTGGTTACTCGTGGTCTTCCACTCCTGGGCCTGTCTGACGTCTGACCTGTCTGACGTAACCGCTGCATCAACCTGGTGATAGTGATGCGTGCGCAGCCCAACCTTCTTGCGACGTCGACGTGTGACGCTCCTTGTTGGACCATTCCAACGGCTCTTTCTCTCTCGATGGCTGTCAAACGTGGCATATCTTGTGTTCTTTTTGTTGCTGTGATATCAACGTGTCTGATCAGCCGTTTTATACAGTTTTTATGCTCGTGCAAAACATGCTAGAGAGGGAAATGTCACTTTCACGAAATTTACGTTTTTTCCCGGAAGTGATCACGTGTTCCCGGTATTTTTTATCGACTATGCTGTGTTTGGGATGTGCAATACGAATTGGCATGGTTTCATACTAGACAATTCACTTAGTAAAAAACAATTTTGAAAATAAGTTGGTATCGTTTCTTTTGGACACTAGTTTATGTATTTATAACAAAATAAGCATTAAAAATTGTATCTATATTATTTTTCTGATGAAACACATTTGCTCATATCATTACACACTAATATTAACACGGAGAAACCGAAATCGACGGTTCTAATTATTATTATTATTATTATTATTATTATTTTTTACCGATTAAATTAGATAAGTACAATAAAGAGGGTTCGGGTGCTCCTGGCACATTCAGGCTGGTTAGGGTCATCATCAGCTCAGGGCCATTGCCCCCTCTACATGCAGATAAAACAGAGCTTGGGACCTACCAGGAAGCGCTGCTCAGTCGAACCCACCCAGATCTTTTCGGAGAATGAGAAGACTCTCCAATACTGCATCCTTCTGCATTACCCAGATTGTTTGACGCGCTGTATTCCTGGCAGCCAATCCAGGTACCCTCCGAATCAAGTCAACAAATTGGGAGTTACCAAACCTAAGGGACCAAGAACAATGGGGAGTCAGACAACTTTGTACTGTGGATGCAAGCGTGAAACTAGAGGCCTGCATATTTGCCCTGTTTTTTCTTGTCAAATACATAAGTGTCAAAAGAGAAAGAAAAATCAATGATATAAATGATGTCATTGGATTTATGAAAAAGGACAAGATCAGGTTTGTTGGCTTGGATAGGTCAGAGGCTATAGTCGGGCCTATTCCAAAGAACTTTGGACGATGGTAATATAATGATGCAGCTACATCATCATGTCGTTTAAGATACTGTATTTTTGCCAAAGCTGGGCATGCACTGACAATGTGTTGGGCAATTCATTACATAATCTACCTTTCATATTTATATTTTGATGCAAAATCATACATTGACGGTTTCGAGTTGGAAGTGACTGGTCCTGAGCAGCCAACAGAAAGCCTACTGTTTCACTTTTCAGGCCAGACGACTTCATCCAAGCGACGGACTCCGCAGGATTGTTGATCTTCTCAACACACTGCACATAAACTCATTGCAGTGGTCATTCAGATAGCCTCTCTTTGAAAAATTGAGTCTGGGCCGACTTGATATGGCACTTCGCTTGGTTGACACTTATTACTGTATCATCATTATTATTATTACTGTTGTTATTGTTGCCCATTTAACATCCCCTCACCTCTTGTTATTATTTAGATTATTACAGTGTTATGTGTTCCAGGAATAGGATCTGGGTTGATGGACGTGTCGGCAGCTGTCATCATCTGTCACTATTTCCACAAATACCTCCCACTTGCCTCGGGTATACAGATGTCCGGAGGAGGTGCAGGGATGCTCATTGGTCCTCCTTTAGTGAGATACCTGCTTGATACGTTCGGCCTTTGTGGGATGTTTCTCATACTGGGCGCTATAGCAGCTAATGCATGTGTGTGTGGTATGATGTTTAGACCATCACCCCATGAGCAACAAGCAGGAACAAAGACAAGAGAGACACCGGGAGACGTGACCCGTAATCTTATGGATCAAGAAGTAGAAGAACAACCAGAAGTCAGAACCAGTTGTCTGCAACGTTTACGTTCGACAGGCAGTGAAATGAGGACAGTTTTGTCAAATGTTAGCTTTATGCTATACGTCCTTTCCTACACGTTATGGGGATTTGGAGAATCTATTCTTTATGTACATTTAACAAATTTCGTGGAATCCAAAGGAACAAGCCAACAGAATTCTGCCATGTTGTACATAGCTATGGGAATTACCAGTACTATAGCGCGGGTGTTGGCAGGGTTTGCTGGTACTGATCCAACAATAGGCGTCTTCATGCTACATACGGGTATGTTGGGTGTAGCAGGTTTCCTGATCATACTATGTCCCCTTCTGTCTGGTTCCTACCTGCTTCAAGTTTTGTTCTGTAGCATGTATGGTGTGTACAGTGGTGGGGCTATGGCCCTAGTAAAACCCATTACTGTTGATCTGGTTGGCGTGAAACAACTGGCGACTGGATATGGAGTGACAAATTTCATCGGTGGGCTTGGATTACTTCTGGGACCTCCTTTTGCAGGTAATGGCAACATGTGTCAGCATGTATATGTTGCAGGATAATAAATTCTCGTATAGAACATAGCACAGGTGACTGATTGCATGTACATGTGTTATGACTTCCCTACGAAAATATTATGATAGGAAATAGCTGTGAAATCAAGAACACATTATGAGTGAGTGAGTGAGCTAGATTTAACGCAGCTCAGAACACTATTTCAATTAATATCACTTTTTTAGAATATAACTTTATTTCTCTTGTAGAAGGTACATATATAACAATATAAGTTTAGTTTGTGTAAAAGTATATAATTATGAAAATTATTTTATAGCATTTGGTCTGTTATCCTATGCTTGTGTTGTATCATTGCAGGGGCGGTCGGGTAGCCTAGTGGTTAAAGCGTTCGCTCGTCACGCCGAAGACCCGGGTTCGATTCCCGACATGGGTACAATGTGTGAAGCCCATTTCTGGTGTCCCCCGCCGTGATATTGCTGGAATATTGCTAAAAGCGGCGTAAAACCATACTCACTCACTCACTGTATCATTGCACTGAAGTTTGTTTGTTTTTTTGTTTGTTGTTTAACGCCGCACCCAGCAATATTACAGCACAAGAATGGGTTGCTGAAGACCTATTCTATCCCACATCTTCACGGCTCTGGACATACATTATGCTGAGGAAATCACTGAATTCGTATCATTGTCTGCAGATCTCTTTTTTTTGTCGATAATTAAATAAGCATTCTGTGAAGTTATTGATGGCTAAATATCATGCGGATTTACCATATGCACACCGATTTTCACATTTGTACCTCCATAAGCGCACAAAACTATTGAAATCCCAAGTGTCATTATTAATATATCATAATGTCATTTGCAGGGTTTATCAAGGAAGTGTCTGGGAGCTATGGTGTTAGCTTTGCTTGTTGTGGTAAGCAGCTTCCAAAATTAAAGAAGCCACACTGTTTGTGCAAGACTTAATTATCAGTGTTAAACCAAAACTTTGATTGCCTTTGATTAATTGTTTTGACTGAACTGAACTAAAGATATAACCTCTCCACCGGAGAATATCCTGTCTCCATGATCCGCCTAAGTCACATTCCGTGGGTCTTAAAAGGCAAAACAGTTGTGACAATAATGAAAGTATCACTGAAAATCAGTAATGACTCCAGTTGTTTGTAAAAAGGGCTAGCTCATCCTGCCCTACCAGTGGCAATATGTATGACGATGTGTTTACAAACAGGGGGGTATATACAGCCGAAATGTATACTTGTTTCAGGTAGCGCACTTGTGATTGGAAGTCTTTTTTCTCTGGGCATACCGATCTTTAAGAGATCAAGTACGTCAAGTGACTCTCATGACAAGGATATGGACGAGGCAGCTGCTGAAGAATATACAGCCGTAGCGTCTGAAACAGAGGGGCAAATGTTACACATCCACTGATTATGAATTGCTTTTCTTCAATATGTGGAACTATTTATCAAGAAAATAGTACAATGTCTCACTCTCTCTTGTGGTAACTCAAACTACACGCATTATACGAATGGCAATATATCCGGTATCCGGTTTCCATTGCAAGACGGAATTTGCAAATGTTTTACAACTAATAGTGTCTACTAAGTTGTAATTTGTATTCACATTTAAGATACGAATTTTGGAATCAAGCAGTACACCTTGAAACCATGCTTTTATCTATGTCCCCTGTTGGCCAGTTCGTATTTCGTATGACTGAAAACTGTTAAGTTACACCCCTGGCCGCACTAGCGTCCACCAAGTTCAGACACAGAGGTGCTATTTCACTTTGGTAACGTGACAAAACCAACCCATTCAAACACCATAGTTGTAGACCTAATTTCACAGGAAACCTTACTGGCCAAGGCAAGATGTTGTCTAGTTGAAATAGTGTTTGTCCTGTTCTGTTGCAAGAACTGAAATACAACAATGCAGAGAGATTTGTCGATGTAATGCTGTCCAGTGATGTTTCCTTCCAATATCCTCAGATCTTTCTTGACTTGGCTACAGATGTTGTATTGATAAGACTCTCATGCCACATTAAAGGACCACTGATGCCGCATTGACCGGGCTACATATGCTGCTTTGCAGGACTAATGATGCCGCATTGACTGGGCTACATATGCTGCTTTGCAGGACTAATGATGCCGCATTGACCGCACTACATATGCTGCTTTGCAGGACTAATGATGCCACATTGAAGGGCTAATGATACCGCCTTGACGGGGCTGCTAATGATACTGCCACCTCCAAACGGTTCGACATATTGCTGTCACGACTCATAGTGATCTGCACTCTCTGACATTATACCCACGCTGTCTTCTGGACACTGTCCAGAGACTGACAGGATGAGTGTCTCAGCTGATGACGTCACAGTGATAATATCATTTCGCAGATGAAGGATACACTTGTGAAGTTTCCTGGGTGGTGGTGACAAGAGGTATGCCACAACTAGGCCTGTCTCTCTTTCACCCGGTCTGCCCGAATCTATAACCAAAACTTCTTGGAACGTGATCATGCATTGCTTCTTGACCAACAGCCTGTTCTTTCTGTTGACGAATTAATCTTGCATGCTACTGTCCAATGGTTTGGGTGTGAATGAACAGTAAAAAGTGTCTTTTATATCCACATCTTTGTAGATTGGAATGTTGTTAGTGCAGTTAAATTTTCAATTTAAAACTCAAGTTCCATTAATCTTGGTACTGTAGCACGTTCATTATTGAGCAAATAGTCTTGGTTGTGTTTGGGCGATTGATTCTCAACCATTTTGTAACGCTATTCGGTGTTTAGACCCAAAGTCAAATTTCAGTTCGGTAACGTTTCTTCGTCAGTTTACATTAAAAGTAATGCTATTTACGTCCATCATCAACATCATCAACAAGTTTACATTAAAAGTTATGCTATTTATGTCCATCATCAACAATCTTAGCCACTGAAATGTACATTCTTCGAGCAGCTGTGAGTACAAACATGTCAAGTTGACCAGTTTTCTGCCAATCTGAAGAAAACTGCGCACTGGGCATAAGTTGCATGTGGTGTAGTGAACTATGCTCTTCATAATGTAAAAATGCTTTATTAAACTGCAATTTGCAATCATCTGTTTTAAAATTACCTACATCTGTAATGTTTAAGTGAACAGTGAAAATATGTTTACGTTCTTTTCACATGTTGAATTTGAAATTTAATGAAAACAAATCTCAGCCTCTTAAAATGTAGGGGAAAAAGTCATGACTCTATCCATCAGTTAAGTGGATTAAGCATGGAAGGAGGAGCAATTGGAGGTTGTGCAAATAATTTTGCCCAATTGGTCGACGTCCTGGGAATATCCCAATAAAGGCAAACATGCCACATATACGAGTATTAAACATATTGTGCATTAACGAATATACAAACTGGTTCTTACACATCAACTTAAATTATAAATTGAAATATTTATATAATAAAACATATGATGCGTGTAAAACCGTGATAACAAATGGTGTTATATACCGTTACATCACTCACAAGTGTAAAGTTCTTCTTAATGGGGACCCAGTCGTCTAAAGCCCCTCAAAAGGAGTTAACATCCTGCGCTACCAGTAGCAGAAAGAGTTCACTGCAAAAAAGGACAGTCCACTATAAGATTCCGACTTTATCATAAGCATGTGCCTATGAGGCACAATGAAATAGTGATGATACCAGGTGTGCGTATCCTGCCCCATAGGTAGCAATCATCACAAACACATGGAATCGCCCAGTGAACTTGTGTCATGAGAAAGGATTTAGTCGCTTTTATTTTCATCCTTCTTTACAAGACAGATTCAAGTTATGAGTGGGAATGACTATTTACAAACATTTTTATCAAAACCCATACATTTAAGACATTGTTGAAAATAAAATTTGTTATGCTCTTTGTAGCTGAAATTAAGACTTCTCAAATATCCATCTTTGATTCGCATCCCTGGTGCATGGACTCATCACAAGGGTTGTATTCGCTCCAAGTGTAAGACATGTGTCTGTTGTTCCCATCTGAAGGCTCTTCTCCTGAAAGGTATAATATAAACTTCAACTTAATCAACGTGCTTATAGGAACTGTTTTATTCCTGACGTTTTGGTGATGTGAAGGGTTTTTTCATTCACAAATGTCTTGCTATGTTTTGCCTAGCAGGTTAACAATAAGCCCTTTGAATATTCACATGCATACATTGACGAAGACCGATTTACCCAGTAGCTGCAAATGCTTAATGATTCCTATTTGTATAAGCATGCATTGCCAACAACCAGTTTAACAAATATTGAAATAGCCAGAATAGGCACTATTACTTCCAGTATAATATGACGTCATCCCGTTTACGGTGCAGCAGCAACAATCCTAGACGGTAACACATTTGTGAATAGACAGAGACGATTGGGGTGATGTGTTTGTTTGTTTGTTTGTTGTAGAATGCAGCATTCATCAATATTCGAGATAACATTCATCAACCTCCTAGGGCATGCGACCGCCTCCGTGGTCTAGTGGTAGAGCGTCCGCCCGGAGAGCGGAAGGTCCGGGGTTCGATCCCCGGCCGCGTCATACCAAAAGACTTTTAAAAATGGTACTTGTTGTTACCCTGTCTGGCGCTCGGCATTAAGGGGCTAAAACAAGGACTGATCGGCTCGGAGTCAGTATACTGTGTCTGAGTGGGGTATTCATGTTAAAACTGCGGCATGGTATCTCAATAGGCTAGCACTATAAATCGGCATCAGTCCGGACTAGTACAAGCAGCTTCACACACACACACACACACATGCATGCACGTCGCTATATAAGTGCAATAACCTTGGACGCGACGTTAAACCCAATTTAACCTCACCTCCTAGGACATGCATTGCATCTGAAAGACCAGTTCTAAGTCGGATGTTCACAGGGTAAATGGACACATGAAGCAGACATCTTGCATGAAATCGTTATCTCATAAGAAAACTCCCTAGAAAATTAATCGCACAATGACGAGGAAACCAAAGGGTTTTACAATGTCTTCCTCTTTGGAGTATGGGAATATCTAAACCAGGCACGAAACAGTACTCTATATATCTACCGTCAGGTCGACCCATTGTCATGGACATATAACATGGTTTACAAATTCGAAAAAATCAAGAACACATCTCGGTATACGTCCAGTTGCCCGCCATGTTTCCCCAGCACTGGGCATGGGTGGCTCCCCTTCCTTCACACACACGCTGTGGGTATTTGAATGCCACATGACTCCCGAAGGGAGCAGCTGCCAGTACTGCGGAGAACACGAGGATGTATGTGTAACGACATAAAATGTAAAGTCAGTATGTTGCCAAGTTGAAGAGACGTAGCCTAGAATCATACACTAGCCGTCACGTTTCCACAGATACAGAGTTTTTGAAATAGAAAGTCAGACTGAGTTAATTTCCTGTTTACGACAGGTCGTGTATTGCTTTCGGCAAAAGAGACACGAGAAGTTCCGCAACGTTACCGGAACCTCGTGACATGACGTCATACTGTGGAGCGTCATCAGTGGAATATGAGTGAGAGCTTTACGTCACATCGGCAATATTTCAGCCATATCGTGACGAGTCAGCGGAATATGGCTCGGAGAGCGGAAGGTCGGTGATTCGATCCCCTGGTCGCGTCCTACCAAGAGACGTTAAGAATTGAGCTCGGAATTAGGGGATAAAACAAGGACTGGTGGACTCGGGAGTCAGTATTTAACATCTGAGTCAGGAATCCATGTTCAAATAGGGCATGGTTTCTCATTAGGCTAACACTATCAACCGACTAATACGAACAAGTCTGGACAAATAGAAACAGACACACAAAAGCGGCAGACACACACACAGACACAGACACACAGACACACACACACACACACACACACACAAACAATCATAGGTCATGTTAAGTGCAATCATCTTGAATGCGATGTTGAAAGCCCATTTCCTTAAACCACACCGTTCATATCACTCATGAGAGTTTACTAAATGCTATTTTCTCACGTCTAATCTCCAGCCCAATCAAGATTCAGAAATATCAAGGTGGTAGGTATAAACGATCCCAAGGTCAAATTAAAGCATGTGAAACATTCGTTGTGGAGGGGGTGGGGGGTGGTTAGTAAGCGGGTCTGGGAGTTGAGAAAAAGAAGTTGTCTACGAAAATTCTTAAAAAAAATAATTATGTTTTAGACTGTTGACTGGTCTGGAGCCATGCTTTTGTTTGACCACTAATGGGTTCAGTATAACATTAATACTGGCTATATCTACTGTAAAATATGCAATTAGGTGACGAGAGAGTGTACATCCTTCTGGCTGTCTCTGACTGCTGTGTGCACATCCTTCTGGCTGTCTCTGACTGCTGTGTGCATCCTTCTGGCTGTCTCTGACTGCTGTGTGCACATCCTTCTGGCTGTCTCTTACTGCTGTGTGCACATCCTTCTGGCTGTCTCTGACTGCTGTGTGCACATCCTTCTGGCTGTCTCTGACTGCTGTGTGCATCCTTCTTGCTGTCTCTGACTGCTGTGTGCATCCTTCTGGCTGTCTCTGACTGCTGTGTGCACATCCTTCTGGCTGTATCTTACTGCTGTGCACATCCTTCTGGCTGTCTCTGACTGCTGTGTGCACATCCTTCTGGCTGTCTCTGACTGCTGTGTGCACATCCTTCTGGCTGTCTCTGACTGCTGTGTACATCCTTCTTGCTGTCTCTGACTGCTGTGTGCACATCCTTATGGCTGTCTCTGACTGCTGTGTGCACATCCTTATGGCTGTCTCTGACTGCTGTGTGCACATCCTTCTGGCTGTCTCTGACTGCTGTGTACATCCTTCTTGCTGTCTCTGACTGCTGTGTGCACATCCTTATGGCTGTCTCTTACTGCTGTGTGCATCCTTCTGGCTGTCTCTGACTGCTGTGTGCACATCCTTATGGCTGTCTCTTACTGCTGTGTGCATCCTTCTGGCTGTCTCTGACTGCTGTGTACATCCTTCTTGCTGTCTCTGACTGCTGTATGCACATCCTTATGGCTGTCTCTTACTGCTGTGTGCACATCCTTATGGCTGTCTCTTACTGCTGTGTGTACATCCTTCTTGCTGTCTCTGACTGCTGTGTGCACATCCTTCTGGCTGTCTCTTACTGCTGTGTGCACATCCTTATGGCTGTCTCTTACTGCTGTGTGCATCCTTATGGCTGTCTCTGACTGCTGTGTACATCCTTCTGGCTGTCTCTGACTGCTGTGTGCACATCCTTCTGGCTGTCTCTGACTGCTGTGTGCACATCCTTATGGCTGTCTCTTACTGCTGTGTGCACATCCTTATGGCTGTCTC